AGAAAATGGAAACTACTATAATTTCGAAATATGAGAGTTGTCAGACGCGAGCAAAAGCGATCAAACGACAGAACCCTGCTGACCCGACTAGCAAAATATTGCTGGTTCCAATTCCGCAGTGGAACGATTTGATGCATTCAGCATGCATGTCTTGCTTTTCAGCATGCATCACGCATTGGTGTGGCCGAAGAAAGCAAGCTCTAGATTAATCCCCTCCCCCGATTATTAAACCCCCCACCCCTCCCCAATACTAAATATTCCCAATTGTGGTCTACTATAGTATTATGGGCATATTTAGTATTAGTGGGGGGTTTAACATTAACCCTAAACCCTTAAAAAATACCCCTATTTACCCCTTTGAAGGTGGGCGGTTTTTAATATTAGGGGGAGGGGAGTAATTGGGGGGAACCAGGGCCTGGTATACCTCGCCCTGCGCAGGGGCGCGCAACGCTAGCAGCAAGTCATCTGAGCCTTTGTCTATCCCGCTTAATAACCGCCATAGTAGTCCCCAATATAGTCCCTTATATAACACCTTTTAAGGAGTTTAGACTATGGCTCATCTTGAAATTCTCTAGAGCAACAACCATCAATCCATTGCACGGCACATGCCTGGGCATGAGGTCAGAGCTCGGGCTGGAGGTGCGCTTCAAGTACCCATTGGGGTAATATTGGGGATACATTGGGATAATGGAAAAGAAAATGGAAACTACTATAATGGGTTATATAGGGATTATAGGATTTATATTGGGGTTATATTGAGATAATGGAAAAGAAAATGGAAACTACTATAAGGGGTTATATAGGGATTATAGAATTTATATTGAGGTTATATTGAGATAATGGAAAAGAAAATGGAAACTACTATAATGGGGAAATATAGGGTTTAGGCTTTCGGGGATATGATGAGGGACGGCATTCGTGTGTAATGTTACAGCGGGAGTTGGAAAGCTCTCACCACGTGCCTTTGTTGGCACCATCGGGGCATCCGGCAGAGTGGTAACCAGGGACTCTACAAGTTTGTTTCCTATCGGTACAGTTTCCATTTTCTTTTCCATTATCCCAATATAACCCCAATATAACCCCAATATACTATCAGTATTCTTTCTAACGCGGGAAGTGGAGTTGAGGCCAGCATTGACGCAAGCACAAACATGCCAGGCCAACAGCGAAGTGAGTCACCTGGTGTCCGAGCAGCGGCATCCTCGGGAGATGTGAGCTATAGTCTAAACTCCTTAATGGGGATTAATGGGGGGCAATACATGGGTTATTAAGGGAGATACGAGTAGTTTAGACCCTAAACCCTAAACGCTACATTATAGGGGTTATCAAGGGGGATACCAGGAGTTTAATTAGACTATAGCTCATGTCAGCAGCAATACTTCAGGCTCACTTCATGGCGACCAGCTCCCAGCATGGCACACACATTTGGATCATGCGTGGGGGCGTTTGGAATACCATTGCAATTATAACTCTCACTATTATCCTTGATATATGTCTGCTGTCATGATTATCCTTGTTATACGTCTGCTGTCAGGTTGTCCTGTTCCAGTGGTGTTTTTGCTAAAGCAAAGCTGAGATGGCACGTGGCCACGCAACGCCCCGCGCCAGTTGGTCCAAGTGCACGTCCGGATCTTATTACTGCCCAGGTATCTGTGCAAATGGGCTCTAGCACATTGGGTAGCGGTAACGCGAATATGAGCAAGAATACTAGAAGGGGTAGCCTCACGGACTTAAAGGTCAGGGTTTGCACACCTGTGCAGGAAGCACAGTCAACTGGAATTCGCTTATGGTCACTTGCCAGCACAAGCTGAAGCACAGACGCCGCCGAAGCCTCAACCGACTTCGGCCAAAGCATGCTCTCATGTTGGCATTCGATCTCCAATCTCGGATGGTAAACCTTATTAGGGTTATATTGGGGTTATACTGGGATAATGGAAAAGAAAATGGCAACTATATTATAGGGTTATATAGGGCTACATGTCCAAGACCTTCAAGCTGAGGCGCTGCCGTGATCGAAGATCCTTATGTTACTTTGATGCAGAAGAAACTGCAGGGCAGTTTGCGGCACAAGCTTGGCAGACAAACACCCTGGAAGAGATGAGCTCCTGGCATCGCTTTTCCCAGAGTTGTCTCCGAGTTCCTTCGAGGTGAAAGAGCAGGGCTTGATTCGACTCCAGTTCCGTACCGGTCCCCAGATGCAACAAGTTGTCGCAGCAGAAGGTGCACCCAGCCTTAATCCTTGCCGCTTGTCAGGTCAAGGAGGCCGAGGGAGGCGCAACTTATAGGTGGTCAGGGTTCTCTGAGAACCGGTGCTATATGGTAGTTTCCCAAAATCAGGGGACCCCAATATAGACCCAAATATATTAGAGTCCTTATTATGGGGACCCCCAAAAAGGTACCCCTAATTTTGGGAAACTCCCATATGATTAAATCTCTAGAAAGATGGAGCTGCAGCCTCCGGCACTCCCTATATACTATAGTAGTTTCCATTTTCTTTTCCATTATCCCTATATTACCCCTATATACTATAGTAGTTTCCAGTTTCTTTTCCATCATCCCTATATTACCCCTATATACTATAGTAGTTTCCCACATCTCCCCCTTGCACCGCGAGAGCTGCCTGTCTGGCGGTCAGGGAGGGCAGGCCTGAAAAAAGCATGGATACGGCATAACCTTGCGGAGAAAGGATGGGTACTGTCACCTCACAGATGGATCAATCAAAGCAGCTAGGGGCAGCTAACGAAGCGTACCCTGTCCGAAGAACTCTGTGGGCGCAGAGAGTAAATTCACAAAAGACTTGTTGACGGAATTCAGCTGGCGTTTCCTGCTCTTCTTTTATTTTTTGCGCAAGATGAGCCCTCGTGGAGTTGGCTACGGAGCGAGTCTGCCTCAGCTGAAAGTCAAACATGTGCAGTGGATGAGTGACGGCAGACTACCGGGTCCGGGGCTCATAGCTGCACATCACCTGAGGTTGACCCAGGAGCAGCTTGCAGAGAAGCTTCCATGGCACAGCCCATCCTGATTGCAAAGGAGTACACAGAGGGTCATGTCACGAATTGCACACTGGTTCTTGCAAAGTTCTTGGCATGCGATTTACATCATTCGAGCCAACTTTGCGATGCTTTGGTGCTGCACTTTTGCATTCAAGCCAGGCTGAAGATACAGACCGCTTCAGTCTCAGTTATGCACAAGAACTGGACAGGCCACACCTTGCAATTTCGCTTTCCTGCATAGGTGCGACGAGCAGAGTGCGAGTTACGCAGTTTGTCACCAGCTTGTGGCCAAGCCTCCCCATCATGCTTCAATGCACAAGGATGTCCAAACGGTCTGTTTCCATCCAATTTCGTGCTGTGTAGATGATGCCGGAGAGACCTGTTCCGCAGAAAGGGCCTGTGCAGCTCTGAGCTAGAGCGCTAGTACCAAGTCCTTCCTAGGCACGGGTGAACGACAGATGGCGATCTTCACTTCGACCCGATCAGCTTGATTACGTTCCAAGCCGCTCGGCCGGTTGATTACGTTACCATACTATTATATTACTAGTATTAATATAGCTTACTTGGTGCTTGCTGAAGTGTGGTGCGCCCAAGGCAACACTTTTGATAGCCTCAGGGCAGTTGAGTGCGAACGAGCCGTCCATCTATCAGGTGCCTGGGAGAGCAGCTTCCTAAAAAATTGGCATTGGTTCGCCTTGGAGACTGTAGTCGTTCCGATCAAATTATGGCATTTGCTGGGCCCCCTTAGCTCGAGTACAGAACCAATTGAGAGGAGAAAGTCAGGCCAACAAATGTGCATTGTTGGTAGATATCAGTGAGCTGCCATGTTTTACGTAGATTTGCCCGCTTGATTTCCCGGTTACATGCAGTGCCAGGAACGGATCTGGAGCACCTCGAACCTGTTTTTTATCTTAGCTCCTGGCTGAGTCAGACCAGAGCAGGAGCAGAACATACGCCCGTTGCAGCATCTCGCTAAGTGGCAGTTTCCCTAAATAGGGGGACCCAAATATAGATCTTGAAATACCAGAATTATAGGGCCCTCAAAAACGGTAGCCCTAATTTTTTGAAAGCACCAAATTGCTGAGGAACCAACTGAAAGCTGCGCAGGAATCTGACAGCTGCAGATTTTCCATGGGTCTACGAGCTGTGGGTGGCAAACTGCGATTGAAATCCAGCTTTGCCCAAGAGTCTTAAGTTTCCCAAAACTAGGGGTACCTTGTTGGGGTCGCCAAGGATTATGTTATTTTTGGTGTTTAAATTGGCTCCCCCTATTCTGGGAACCTACCACTGATTTAGAGCTGGCTTTGCCTCAAAGAAGCAAGCCGGTTACAAGATGTTCATGCATGGCACAGCCAAGCCCATCAAGAAAACGGAGAAATTGGATTGATATATTTGCTATTGGCATCTACGACACCTGAAACATTAGAAGGAAATATTGGAATAGTATTTGATATGCGTCAGGCAAAATGACGAGTTATTGCCTTGAATAAATGTTCAATATTATTTCTATATGAGATTTATGTATTCAATATTTCGAATATTTCGATAAAAATAGAAATGCCTCAATAATACGGCGCGGCCACTTGCGGCCATTTCGCTCGCGCTCGGCCTAGCTTTTCCGGCTCCAGAAGCCGCTTGAACCCTCAACCCTATACCCTGAACCAGGTGAGGATTTTATGACCATAATAGGGATATAAACCCAAGAAATCAAAGAGCACTTACCCTCCTAGGGCTCCTTTAAGAGTGCTCTTTGATTCTGTTTACCCTAGGTCAAAAATCCTAACATGCCCTGAACCCTGGAAATCTCCATAGAATCCCAGTTTAGGGTTCGGATTTAGGGTATGGGCTGGAAAGTAGCTTAAAGGTACGTAAATCTGGCTATAGGGGTTTAGATGGGTACATACGGGGCTACAATCTGCATTATATACTGTACTACCCATTAGCTACTTCACAGGCCATCAAAATCTGTAATGCCAGTTTCCATGTCATGTCTACTTTGATTCACCATTAGTTACCCTGAGCAGCCCCCCCCCCAGTAAATCCATTGCAGCCTGAAGCCCAAACCCGAAATACTAGGTTTAGAGTTTAGGGTTTAGGGTTTAGTAACTTCCATTTTCTTTCGCATTCGCCCCATATGCCCCTACCAGGTGCCAATCAGTCTCAAAATGCTTTCAATCAGATGTCATGATTTTAGTTGGCATGCAGGCTGTTTCCAATGAAGTCTCTCCACATCTACGCTTTGATCAAGGACTGCGACGCGCATGTGAGCTATTGCCAGCATTAGCCTGATTCAGGACCCTTAATAGTGGACATAGGGCTCCATTTTGTAGTTCAATATGGTTCGTAATTACGGACCCCATGTGCATTCATTTTTCTGGGAAATATCGGTCATGTGCAGGTGGCTCGTGCGGATTGCAAGCTGCAGGCGCGGCAACCTGCAGCAGGCGACCAGTATGTGGATTCCCGAAACCCTCAGGAGCCGGGGCTGCTGTTAATTCCGATTACGGCATTATGGGGCAGCCATATTATGTATTACATGTCAATGTTATGGTAACTGCACCTATGTTCCTGAACTACAACCCAATAAACTTACAACCCCGAAACCAGTGTGTCTAGGAGCCGCCATGCTTGAGGGCCTTACTTCGGCAGAGGCCTGACTTCACAAATATACAGCATGATATCGAAGCGGCTTCTGAACATTTTCTTGCTTGGCAGGCGCCTTTTGTACCACTGCTTCTGCCGGTGCAGGAGGGTTCAGGGCTTGCGCACCAAACGGGAGTTAATGCCGGCCTCTGTACGCGACTCGTGTCGCCCGGTGTCCGCTAACACAGGTTATATCTGAGTTTCAAAGAATATCTCAATCTGCCGCCCCTATCTCCCATGAATTGCAGCTTGACCACTTCCCCGTGCCTTTCCCCTGCCGCCTTCGCGGCAGGGCGTCAGCAAACTGGGGCCTGGCAAACGGGATACGACCTCCCTAACCCCACGAAATGCCCCCAAACGGATTTTTCATCCGCCCTGATATATTTCTCGTTATCTCGTATTCTCGTTCCTATTTCATCCGCCTTTATACGTTTCTCGTGTTCTTATTCCGAAGGCTTCTAAAACACTAATTTCTAGCCGTCTTTGCGATCGGGCTAGAGTACAAATTTATATATATATTTTGCCGGATTAATCGAATATCCCCCATATTATCCTCATAATTAGCAAAATACTTTGTATACGTTTTACCCCACAAGAATATTAGCCCCACCCCTATAATCTCATAATATCTTAATATTATTGATTTCGTCATATTTCAGCGTTCCTATAGTGAAGCAGGCAAATTGTCCTAGCGACATTTTTGACAACCAAGAAGCGCTATCTAGAAGTCGAAAGTCAAACTCTAGATGAGGTCGGAATGGGCTGGGCAATGGCGTAAGGTGGGTAATGATAGAAAATTACGGAATTATTTTTTTGAAATAGATAAATCATCATATGAATTTGCTAATATTAATTTGCCGAAAGCATTTTATGAATTTTATATTTATTTCTAAGACCGCAAGCCGAAACCCCTAATCCACTCTAAGCCTTAAGTCCGAAACCTAAAGCCTTAAGCCTTAGACTCTGTAAGGCTTAAGATAGAAGTTTATTGGCCCTGCCATGCCTAGCCCCCGCTATTTCTTGAGGGTTCCCTAGCAGCTCTAAAATCTCGGAGATTTTAGAGTCATTCGGAAAAATTAGAGGCTCTAAAATCTCGGATATATTTGAGATGGATGGCGCGGCTAAAAATCTCGGAGATTTTTGGTCGTACCGCTCTGTCTCCGGAGCGAACTTCGCGTAATTTATCTCTCTTTGATTATTTGCATAGCTATTCGGCGGGGGCGTAGTGCATGCATCCTATCTCTCTTTGGATTTGTGATGGAGAAGTAAGAACTTTCAGAATTCATATATTGATAGTATAGATATATGATGATATATATTCTTCCCCGAGTCGCCGCGCAAATAATTTATTAGAGATAAATGAGAAGGAAAAATCGGACCGCAGGTAGGCCGCTTACAGGCCCTAGCGCGACTAAAAATTTCGAGATTTCGGTTGTTTGTGTTGCGACTCGAAGGAATGCGTAGATCCGAGGCGGAGATCTAAAATTTTTCAGAATCTATATCTGGGCTATTTCTGGATATAGATATGATTTATTCATCGGATTTATAGATATCCTCAAATAAATAATATATTATTATAAGCAAAAGATCAATTCTGCTTATATCATTAATTTCGAATAAGAATCTATTTTTTTTCATGCATGTAATATTTTGATCGAAAAAGAAATATATTTATTTTCTATATATTTTTCTGGATAATAATAATGAAATATAAAATTGAAAGATATGAAAATGAATTTATTTTCTCAAATTAGAAAAAAAGATATGATGAATTTGATATTTCTTTTCTGATTTAAGAAAAATATTCATTTCGAAATAGATTAAGTAAGATTCTTAAAATATATGATTTGAAGGTTGATGATTTATTCGTTATTGATGATAGGAATTTTATATATTTCGTGATCGAAAAATGGAAAAAAAAGAAAAATGTATTTTTATATTATATATATCTCAATATTATTGCGTAATTATCGTATTGAAATATATGGGTTCTCTATGAATTTTAAAATCTAAATGATTTTTGATATATTTCGGAAAAAAATATGATTTGTAAAATTTTCGAGGATTTGGAGGGGATGGTATTACTAAAAATCTCGATTTTTTGGGGTCTCTTTGATTATTGACGCGATTATTCCGAGGAATATATGGACTATAGATCCGGGACGGAGAATCATATTTTATATAATTTTGAAATAGGTCGTATCTGCCTATGAAATTTTATACGTTCTTCTGAGTCGTTGAGAAGATAGCTTATGAGAGATAAATGAATTGAAAAGACCGGATCGCGTATTCTGAGATCTCCTAAAATTTCGAATTATTTCTCTCTCTTCGATTGTCTACGCGGCGGTTCGACATATTAAGATCCGGGCGGAGATCTAAAAATGTTCAGAATCTATTAGATTGATCGTTTTTATTTACGTGCGAGATTAAAAATTGATTATTCGTCGGAATTGCCATACGATTTTATATCTCTCTTTGATTATCGGCTCGCTTATGCGGAGGAGCGTCTAGACCCGAGATGGAAAAATAAAATCTTTCAAATTTTATAGGGAGGTCGTAATTGCCTGCAGAGATTTATGGATTCTCCCCAGCCGCCGCGCAGATTCTCGTTATGGCTTTTCTCTAATAAATATTCTCCGTTTTATATAGGCATTGGATCAATTCTAGTATAAAATCATTTCAATGAAATTGCGATATATACTCGTATTTCTTTTCAAATATTGATAATTATTCTATTTGAGGTCGGATATAGATAAAATTTCTCTCGTTAGAATAAAAATATTTCTGGAGATTTTCAATATTAATATGAAAAAAGGATATAGGAGATATTAAGAAATATATATATATTGAAAAACGATCTAAATAAATATTTATCTATCTATAATCTCTTTGATTGGAATTTATTATTTATATGAATTTCTAGGTGATAATGATATAATTAATCGTTTAATGATTTCTTCATATAAATCGTATTTCTAGATTGATATAATTAAGCAAGATTTGATAATTTTAAAGATCTATATGATAATTAGATTATATCTGATCAAAATATCGAAATTAGATTTTTCCGAAGAAAAAATGAAATGATTCAGATTATCATTCTTGCCTGGAATTTAATTGAATATTCATCTGAATCTCTTATCTGAGGGCTAGATCCCCAGTTAAGGGATTCTAGATGAAAGAAAAATTATCTCTCTTATATAATAAATATTTTCAATGATATGATGATCTATCTCCGCGTCTCTTTTTGAATATTGATAATTGATCTAATTGAAAAAGAATAAGATTTCCGTCATTGATCTTAATTTTATTTCTGGAGATTTTCAATATCAATATAAAATAGGAGATATAAGATTGAAAGAAATCTAATTTATGAAAATTATATAAGATTTCTTCTATCCAGAATATATTTGATATGAAATTGGCATGAATTTATAATGATTCGATAATTTT